GAAAAGAGAGAGAGAGAATATATTATATATATATATATATTATATATATATATATATATATATGGAGCACTGAAAATTGGGCTGAGACACAGAGGAAACCAGTTTTGTTTAGCAAAATGTAGGAGCAGAGCTATGAAGAGACAGATGCCATTTAGTCGAAGAGTAGTGAACCATTGGAATAGGTTGACAAGTACAGTTGAAGAAGGTCTCTCTCCAGCAACATTCAAAAACCCTTTGGACAAGTTCTATTGGTCTAAAGGTCTCGCTTATAACTAGATATATGCACGTCAGGTGGTAAAATTGGCTTTGAGGATGTGCCCGGAACCTGAGGTAGGCTAACTTCGATGGGCCCTGGTGGCTCTTTGTTGGCTAGATGTCTCATTTGTCTCTATGCCTTTTAACTGCTCCGGTGATAACTGAAGAAAAGCAACGAACCCGGTGACAACTGACCCAGGGTAGCTGAACCAGGCGCAACTGAACCAGTGACGGCTGAACCAGTGACAACTCTCTACAAAGGGCACCAAACAGAGCTGGATACGGACTTCAGCGACGGAGCTCTGCCGGCTGGTGCTACCGCGGGTGCCGCAACACGGGTGTGCCGACCGATTGCAGTCACGTGACCCTGCCCAGCGATGACCATGTATCTTTCAAGAGGCAAATGCCATTACAGCGACGCAGTTGAGAACCGCAATCGACAAGGCTAGCCCGCAAGCCTTGCGACGAGCCAGGGAAAATTAACAATCACCAAGGCACGTCCAGCCGCCCTTTAATCCTCCTTCCTGCTTAATCCTGCACCCTCGCGACGCCCCGCTTGTCCGGGGTAGGCTGCGTTCACTACCCACGAGTGGCCCCTAGAGGCCCCCTCGAGAGGCCTCGTCCGGACGTCCGGCGCATATCCCGCAGAGGGGCACAGCGCGGACTTAGCATTGGTGGTTGGGTGCCCAGCTGCATGTAGTCCTGTCCCATTGTTATCCATTCTTTTTCATCCCATAGTCTTGAAACGGTCATCACTCGTTGAAAAGGCTCTTATACAAAGAACCAAGGCGAGGCTTCTATTTGGAGGTGGCTCAAGGGAAGCCAGTGATGATGAACTGTTCAGGCCGCTGCAGAAATTTTCGGCAGAAATGCCACTTCAGTGAAAAGTAGCCTCGAACTGGAAGACCCCCAGAAACCAGTGAACGTCCTTAGGCATGCCAAGTAAAAACACGGACCTGCCATGCCGCCATCAGACTATGAGCACGTGATTGTCCTTACTTGAGTGGAGATGACGTAGTTTGGAACTACAACCCAGTTGGCACTGAGCCAGTTGTTCATGATTCAGTTGTCACTGACCCAGTAGTCCATGGCTCAGTTGTCACTGGCCCCGTTGTTCACGGCTCAGTTGTCAGTGACCCAGTTGTCCACGGCTCAGTTGTCACTGACCCAGTTGTTCACGGCTCACTTGTCACTAACACAGTTGTCCATGGCTCAGTTGTCTGGTTACCGTTTCTTTCTATGCCTCTCGATTAGGCCAGCGCAATGTTTTGCCAAACGTGCGGGACTAGCCCGTCCATACCTTCCAAGCCGTCATCTCGGGCCGCGACACAGGTTTTCCGATGCCTGGGAGCTACCGGGACGAGTTTGTGCTGCGGTAGGCCGCACGGACAGCCGTTTCCGCTGGCCTATACGATGCTTGGGATATCCACTCAGAATGCCTCATATTATTCTGTTATTGCGCGTCTGCACGATGGTCACAAAAAGCAAAAAAACTGATCTGTTTACAGATGTGTGCTCAGCAGCTGATTTGTTTACGTCGTACGGTGGTGAAACATCTTACAGAATGGAGTCCCTCAGTCTCGACCCGGAGAGCACTTTAACATGGATATTATAAGGAACGCTTGGCAAATTATTCACGACATGCAATGACCGGAGGATCCTTAACGGCCCAAAACAGCGATTACACTCATGCTGCTAACGGCACCGATCCTCTCAAGAGGATATGAAAATGTCGACGGCGCGAGCGGCGGACGATTCCCAGACGGTCATGGCCCTAGTCGGTGCGCGGTGGACCCTCCCCAGACGGTCGTGGCCCTAGTCCGTGGCCCAGTCTAAAGGGCGCCGTCAGCGAAGGCAGACGCGACCCGGCCGCACGATCACGGCCACGCGCATGGTGAACTTACAACTTCAACAACTTAGAGGATGTTCTTCGAGCCGTATATATATATATATATATATATATATATATACATACACGATTCTACACACACACACACACACACACACA